TCCGGTTTTAATTATCCTTTCTCAGGTTGGTAATAGGGTTGTAATCCAGTCACTTGTTCCTAATCAGGATTTATGTAGAATGGATTGGATATGGTGACAATTCCATGTCTCCTTATGATACCGCTTGGCTAGCTATGGTACCATCAAAAACCTATAAAAAATCAAGTTCTGCTGCGGATTTCGAACTTGCATTTCCTCAATGCTTCATTTGGCTTCTTGAATTCCAAGAATCAAATGGAAGTTGGTCCGGAACAGGTCCTGGAAGTATACCTTCTTCTCTTTCTGGTCTTCAAGCATTAGGCCTCTTCCGTTCTCGTTCCGGTCAATATTTTGAAAGAAATTTGCTAAAATTTGGATCTTCGATTGTAAGTCACGTTTTTTAAAAAAATTTGTTAAGGATAACCAGCAGGGCACGTTGTTTCTTTCATGCTAATATCTTATTTATTTATTATTTTATTTTAGAGAAAGTATAACAATATTTTTCAAAAAGCGATCGAATATCTTCGTGAAACGTAAGACAAAATAATTTTTTTTCTTACAAAAAAAAATTTAATATAAATATAACCTGACTTGATTTACTGATTTACTAGATTAAATAATTGGAATATCGATGAACTTTACATGGTTGGATTTGAACTATTCATACCATATCATTTAGACTCATTGGAAAAGCTTGAACCTTCAGTAAAATTTGACTTTCCCGATAAATCAAGATTATTAAAAGTTTACCAAAGGAAAATGAGTATGATACCTTTAGAAACGATTTTTGCCCTTGCCGCAAAAAAACAGCCAGTTTCCATCATTCATTCCATTGAAGCATTTTGTAATACATTTGATTTGTCACGTATTCAAAATGAAGGATTCCAAGCTATGAATGGGAGTTATGGATCTTCGCCCGCGGCTACTGCGGCAGTTATGATACACGCCTCTAAGTGGGACGATAAGGGATACGAATTTCTTAAAAAAATTCTCAACCGTTGTCCATCTTACGCTGAAACTCAGGGATGCGTACCCTGTATTTGTGACGTTGGAATCTTTGAAACTGCATGGGTCACGCAATCGCTTAGTGGAATAATGTTGAATTTATTAAGAGAAAAATACTTCAAAAGAAATAAACGTGAAGTCAAACAACTTTTAGAAAAAAATAATGCATTTGTTGTATATCTTAAAGCACTTCTTAAAGAAGCAAATGGAAAACTTCGACGGTCCAGTTGGGATAACAGAACACCGGCTGATGCTGATGATACATCTGTTACGCGTTGGGTTGTACGCCAATTCGATGCAAACTCCGAAGATGATCTTGATCCTTTGATACAAACCTTTTACAATGGAAAATATTTTATAACCTTTCCACTCGAACGCACTTTTTCAATAAGTTGCAATGTTCACGTTTTGAGCCTTTTGATTTTAGAATATAAAAAAATAAAAGCAAGAGGAATTACATCCATGTTATTTACCGTCAAGACTAAATCTCAAAAAGTTAAACTTGAACTAATTATTGAATCAGTTGCGAAATTTATTATGGAACAACGCTCCAAAGTAGCGATTTGGACTGATCCATGGCACAAGAGTCCAGGTTATTCAACATTCAAAGCCATCGATTTGCTTTTGTCTTTAACGCATCATCCCGAATTTTTAAGTACTTTAACAACTTTGGACGTGGCTGGACTTTTAAGTTTTTGTAGAAAATCTGTAGATTGGACATTAAAAACTCAACATAAAGACGGTAGTTGGGGCGAATCTTCAAAAAATGCTATGGGAAATCTGGAAGAAACTAGTTACTTTGTTCGCTTATTAAAAACTTCATATCGATATTATCCTGAAGACAAATCAATTCAAGCATCTCTATTGAAAGGTCAAGTATATTTGAAAGATCACCTGAAAGAGGCAATGAATACACATGGATATTTTCATAATTCGGAGCCATATTTGTGGATAGACAAGCAATTGTATACGATGCCTCGAGTCATAAAATCCTCAATGCTTGCGGCTCTATGGGAAAATTAAAACTTTTAGACAATTTGCTTAGATATTTTTTTATTTAATAAATAGTATTTAAAAAATTATTATTATTTCGCTTGTATTAACTTTATAGGAACTTAATTCATATTTTACATAAACTTGCGATTTTAATTGTACGAAATTGATCTTACCAAAAATAGAAATATATATTATCCACTGTCAATTGTTCGCCGATGATCTAATTTTGGGGTTATAATTCCTTTTTATATCCTTATTGAAATAAGCAATGTTACAGAGATTTTTTTTTTTAAAAAAAAATGGATATAAATAGCCATGAAAATGAAGCCCAAGTTCTAATAAAATCAGAATTAAGTTTCTCAAATAAGAATTGTTCTTATTGCGATGAACCATTTTCCGAGAAATTATGGTGTAAAGAATGTGATCCTTGGTGTATGATTGAAGGTTGGACTAGTGGAAATTCTGATATTGATAAATTCATAAAAGAAACAATATATAAAGCAAGAAATAAAGAATATCGTCCAAGATTTCTTGAATGGGTGCCTTTTGATAGATTCACAGATATAAAAGAAATTGGTGA